TGAAAAATGAGAGGATGGAGAGAGAAAGAGAGAGAGAAATGCAGGCCGCAGGTTTAGATGTTTGTGGGAACATTGTGGGCCGAGGAGCAAATGAGAAGAACGGGGTTGGCATGAACCAACACCATCACAGAGAGATGGCTGCTGCCAGAAATGACGGTGAGAACAATCCAGCTGGCCATAACCCTCCAAACCACAACCCGCCCAAGATCCTACCTGTGTCTGGAAAACTGGAGCAGGTACTTCAAAATTTAGGACAGTGGTTCACATCCTGGGGGGTCAGCACTGTCAACTCAGGTTGTAAAATGAATGTAAGGGCTCACAAAATGATGCAAACCTTTAAACAACAGGCTCAGATTTTTAGTTAGTTTAATACTCATGTTGAAAGAGTTGCTGGGCACTGTAAACATTCATCATCTCTATACTAATTATGAATGAAGTTATCCCTTCCTAGCATGACCAAATGTGAGTGAGAGGGAGGGGACAACATTCTGTGCAAAATTAATTAGAAATTTCAGGCAGCGCTATTGTGGTGTTTCCGCTGTAGTATCAGTCTTTTTAGTATAAATGGCTTTGTATTACTAGCTCCAAACAATAAAAGGGGTTCTTTCATACACAAATGGATCTATGGATGCAATGCAAAAAGGCACTCCAAAGTTCAGCCAGTGCTGCAGTCTGAATTCACCAACTCTTGTTGGTATCTTCCAAAATTACAGTCTTTTGAGTTCCCGCTCTTCAAAGTGTTTCATTCCTGAGCTGTTATGGAAGGCTAGTAATTATTTGGGTATCTAAGACTACACAAGAAACCTACATTACAGCAAGCTTTGGCTAAACTTAAGAATACATTTTTTGCACAGAAGGAGAACTGTGAACCTTGTCCCCAGTCTCTGACATTGGAAGGTTCACCTCGTGGTCATATTATGCTTATGACATCAGAATACTGAATTTTATTACTGAAACCTTAGTTAATGTTTGTCTGTGATCTGCAGCGCATGTACAGTATCTTCTTTTTCTCACAGTCTTTCTTGTCTTCCTCCATCCCTTTCACAGGCAATGCAGAACAGCTCAGGCCTTGTTCGTCCCTCTGCCTTCAAGCCAGTGGTTCCAAAGAGCTTCCACTCCATGCAAAACCTGGTGGGCCAGGCAGGAGGGGCTGGGAGTGAGGGCAAGAGTGAGGCAAGGAGTGAAGGATTCATTGAGGGCAGAGGAGGCAGGAGAGGCAGGGATGGAGGAGGAGGAGTATCAGGAGAGGTCCCAGAGGCCCTGCTCTTGGACCAGGACAGCCCAGTAAGGGTCAGCAGAAGTGAGGGTGGGGGAAATAGTAATGAAGTGGTTCAGGGAGGGATGTCTGATTCAGGGAGAAACTCCCTAACCAGCCTGCCCACCTACACAGGCTCGGGGTCTGGTTGTGGGCCCCCAGCAGTCCTGGGGCCTCTCAGTGCTTCCACCAGCCACATCAACAGGTTAGGCATGGCTGGGGCAGCTGCAGGTCTGGACAAGCTGGAAAAGCCTGGCTACCAGGTACAGCTACTCTCCATAGTGACTATGTCTGCCGCTCTGGGACATTGCTGCTCTCATCTTTAATGTATCTCATTGTGGTTCCTGCCTCCAGAATGGGCTCAGTGCCTCGGACAGTGGCCGGTCCTCCTCGGGAAAGAGCTCCTCATCCTATCAGAGGCTGAGCCACCTGAGTGATGCCCCAGCACCTCTACGGCCCTCCCCCTCCTCTGATGACATCATCCAGGACCTTGAGGACCGCTTGTGGGAGAAAGAGCAAGAGGTCAAAGGCCACTCCTAGCATTCTGTATTTTAAACACTTTTTCTAGATGCTGACTGCAAAAGGCAAATTCCCTTACAGCCCAACATTTTCTTATCGTTCTCTTCTACTTTTACAGTAATATTTACGTGCTTTCTTTGTGTCCTCATTCCTTTTTTTTTTTTCTACCAGGTGCAGCATATGCGTAGAAACCTGGACCAAAGTGAGGCAGCAATCATCCAGGTGTTTGAGGAGAAGCAGCGTGTCTGGGAGCGACAGATGGATGAGCTGAGACAGAACTATGCCTCGCGTCTGCAGCAGGTGACCTCATTACATACCTAATACAACAAAACAAGGTTAAGATGTTACTGATGACATTTCTTTTACCCACATCTTGAGTCCAGATCCAAGCAGTGTGACAGTGCAGAATGCTGTAAAAGCCTGGTACAACAATATCATTTTTAGGGGTAGAAACATGATAAATAGATGTGGAAAAAGTTTGAAAAGTTTGATTTCATTTGTACAAACAATTTTAAAACTGGAAGCTGACATTGTGAGAGACATATGGACCAAAGAACACGCCCAATCATAAAGCCATGTGTTATTTTATAAACTAAACAATTAATTTACACTCGTAGTCTTGATATTTACTCTGAAAGTTGAACCCAAAAACTAAAAATAAAAAATACAAGTGAAAATGTGTTGCATCAGTCCTTTGGCCATTCTGAGACATATAAGACAAAGCTGAAAAAATTCTAATACTTTAATTTCCAATCAAATTAGTCAAATTCCTGAAATTATGTGACACTGAAAGCATCAAGTATCAGGATGTCCATTCTGAAAAAGTGGTGCTAACAAGCAACGTATGAACATAGTGTTAGGTTATTTCTTAGTTAGATAGATATTCAGAGATTTGTTGTCTAGCAATGTTAGTGCAGACAGGTTGACTAGCTCAGGCTGTTAACTGTTCAGCCTGCAGTGCAGACTGCAGGCACGCCAAGGTTACAGGAAAAGAGCTGTTAGTGTCAACTGTAATGCTAGTCTTAATATTTGTCTTAATGTGTAAGGTTATGTCCAATTGTTTAGATACACACCACGAAAACAACAGTCACGCACCTTGACTTTTCCTCATGTTTTGGCTAAACGTTAGAGCAGCTGCAAAGCTTGCTTATCGGGTGGCGTCATGGTTTTGACGCCCCTTGTAGCATGGGAATAGCCCAAAATGATTAATATTATATAGGCGTCTTGGTCCAGAGATCTTGAGCTTTTTCTGCTGCCTGCGCGCAGGCAGAGGGGCGAGAGAGATCTGGACGTGTAATGTGAATTTTACCTGTGATCCTCTGAATAAACCAGCACGGTTATTTTTTATAAAATCTAAAGCAGTCTCCTTCGTCTCATTGAGAGTTCCTGGTTTGAAAGAACCGGAAGAAGCTACAGAGAAATAATAGCTTATAATAGAATGAACTATTTTGTGCTTGTGAAACATTCAAAACTGAGTTAAAAGACAAATAAAGTTTTTGTCAGTATATATTTGGAGGAAGCCGCATCTTGCTGCACAGTAGGCGGAATCACTTGACTCAAGATGGGGTGAAATACACAATCATCTAAGAGACATTTAGACCAAAACTGAATAATACACAACACAATGGGTAATAGACTCATGGCTTAAAAGACCAGAAGATGTTACTGTACAATCAGTACATACACATATATAGACACAGTCATAACTTAAACTGTATATGTACACTTTGCAGGTTACCCGTCGTGCTCAGCGCTCCCAGACTGCCCTGCAGGCCCAGATAACCCGTCTTTCCCAGGACAAGCGGAGGCTCCAGGAGGAGATGGCAGCTCTGTTGGCTCAGAGAGAGGAGCTGGAGAGAAAGTGTCTAGATTACAGGAAGGAGCAGGCTGACATCTTGCCTCGTCTGGAGGAGACCAAGTGGGAGGTGAGATAGGAGTTGGTAGTGCTTGAGTAGTTCAGTAAAATGTTATCAGTGTTACATCATAGCAGAATGGGCAGTGGAGTGCTCAGTGTAAGGGTACAAGAAACCCATCTGTATGGCATGGGATATAGACTGTATTTACCACATTTCTTAAATATTACAAAACATACCGCTTGCTCATTGTTCACGTGGCAGGTGTGTCAGAAGGCAGGAGAGATCTCCCTGCTGAAGCAGCAGCTGCGGGAGAGTCAGGCTGAAGTGACCCAACGAGCTGGAGAGATGGTGGCCCTGAGAGGCCAGCTGAAGGAGCTCAATGCCCAGCTGAGGGAACGGGAGGAAGCCATGCTGGGTTTGAAGGACTCCTATAGCACCAAGAGTCTGGAGCTGGAGAAGTGTGAGGGAGAGCTAAGGAGGACTCTGTCAGAGGTATGTTTTCAGCATAACCACTGAAAGGTTTTGGAAGGGTCTAAAAAAGACCAGCACACCAAAGCAGTCAGAATATAATTTACAACAAGTGAGATTGCAGGATTGGGGTGTTTACCACAGAATCTAGGTTGTTGAGCATTTAATCCTCAAAATCCTTTAGAGACATTCCAAAAACTTTATGTATTACAGCTGCAGCCATCTTTTCTGTCCTCAGAAGCAGCTTATGTACATATGTTGTGCTTTCTGGTACTAAAGTGGTACCCAGTTTAAAGGGAATATTGGTTTGATGCTAAATACATCTTACCGATTCTATTTTTAAAACTGAATTAGATTTTCTATGATAGCCTTTACCTTTTCTTTTCCACAGGTGTCCATCCTTAGAGAAAAGCTGGGTGTATTTGAAGCAGAGGTGCTTAGCTTAAAGCGGGCTCTGAGTGAAGTGAGCAGAGGGGCAGAAGTTGTCGTGACCCCTAACTTAGCTGCTGCAGGGCTGTTGCCACCATGGGGAGCTGTCCACTGCCCACGTAACCCCACTGAGCCCTCGTCCAACTCCCTCACCCCCACATCTGACACCCTGCTGAGTCTTCAGAGTGATGAAGCCAAAGCCCAAAGGCAGGAAGCTCAGAGGCAGGAGAGGCAACAACGTGAAGAAGCTCAATGGCGTGATGTGCAGCAGCGGCAAGACGCCCACATGCAGCAGGACATCCAACTGCGTCAGGATGCCCAAATCCGACCAGAGGCCCAACTCCGCCAGGAGGCTCATCTCCACCATGAAGCCCAAATCAGGCAAGACGCCCAGCTACGGCAAGAAGCACAGCTGCGTCAAGAGGTGCAGATGCGCCAGGAGGCCCAACTTCGCCATGAGGCCCAGATGCGTCAAGAGGTCCAACTGCGTCATGAGGCCCAACTCTGCCAGGAGGCGCAGCTGCGTCAGGATGCCCACCAGCCACAGAGGGTCTCAGAGGGTCACTGGGATGAAGCAGGGGAGCTGCGCAGACAGTTAGAGCAGCTGCAGGCCGCATTACGCCTGGAGCGGCAACAACGGGAGCGTCAGGCCCTCAACTTTGACCAGGAGCGACACACCTGGCAGGACGAGAAAGAACGGGTTTTGAAATACCAGGCACAGCTGCAGCTTAGCTACGTGGAAACGCTGCAGAAGAACCAAGCTTTGGAAAAACGTATGAGCCAGTTGGGAGCCAAACCAACTGCAACCTCCCCCACCACCACCACCACCATTACCACTACCACCACCACCACCACCACCTCCCCTACCTCCTCCAATTCTCCCCCTCCACCACCAGCCCTCTCACCTTTGTCTCCGCACTCCCCTCCCTCTCTCCCTGGCCCCATCGCCCTCACCCTCTCCCCACCTTGTGAAGACCAGAAGGGCCCTCCTTCTCTCCACCAGCTTGCCCCTCCCTGGGCAGGACCCTCACGCCTGGAGAGGATAGAGTCTACTGAGATATAGAAACAGCTCCATGAAACAGTTATAAATGACCCAGTTTTAACACACACAGTGGCAAGGACCCTCACACAAGACCACTTCAAGATAACATAGAAAAACATTTCAGTCTACAATAGAATAAATTAGTATAGTCTGGCATACTTTTCAAAACAACTATAGACAATTAACAGCAACAAAGGCTGACTGTAAAATCCAGCATTACCGGTAAGAAGCAGTTCATCTGAACAGGAAGGTAAATTACATTAATCTATCAATGATTGTTCAGCCTCCTAAGCAGCCTTTCTATTACTAGTTGAACACTAGTACCTCCTACATAATCAGTGTTCATGAGAAGTGTGCCACATTGATGGATGGCAGAAAAACTATTAACAGTGTTTAAATTACAGCACTAATACAGGGGGCATTTAATGCCCATGCTAGAGAAGAACCACGACAATCAGGGATATTGTCAGAAATGATTAACAAGAATATTATGCCGTATTTATTCATTGTAAGTCTGTGTCGCTGGTATTGTAAAACTAGAATTAGTGGTCAGAGTGTGTGATGTGAATTTGCATTTTTGGCCAGAGAGCGCCTTACTCCATTCTTTCCAGCATATATAAGATAATAATGCTGGAAATACATGGAAAAAAAATCTATAGTGTGATTATTATTTTCAGTGCTTTAATTATAACATCAGCAAAACTGTTACACAACATTATTACATATGGCTGGACTATTCCATTTGAACCCCAGCAGATGCTGATATTGAAGGTCTGATTCAGTTTTAATGTCATTTCATGCACAGGGCCCAACATGCACGACCCATTTAAAAACATCATTAAGACCAACAGAGTTTATATTTTCTACAAATTGAATTAAATAAATATGTTTAGCAGATAATCAACCCCAAATGAATATAGAATAAGTTTTTAAGAAGTGGGAGAACCTGGTTCACCTTCACTGTAGATAATGTGCGGTGACTAAAAACAAACACTAGAGGTCATGAGAGAGCTTTCAAAGTTCGCCCAACTCACAAAACTACAAGGAGGATGTGAATGGAAATGCACAATTTGAATTTGGTTATTATGATAATTGTGTCATTCACATGCAAGAAATCGAAGACAGCAGTCAGCATCCCCAAAGTTAAAACGTTTTCTAGAATGTATGACATAGAAAGAAAGAAATACTTATAGATTGTAAATGTGTGTGTGAGAGAGCGTATGTGTGGAAGCAAGTGTGTGCATGTGTATATACACATATGAAAAGCTTCAGCTTATGAGACTGAGGATAGAGGGACTAGTGGCAATACAGCAAGTGAAGACATATTAAGAATAAAGGATTTTTTTTAGGTACAGTAAGAAATACGTCAAAGTCTGACACAAGAACAGACTGAAATTTCACACTGAGGGAGTCTGTATATCCTGGAACACTCCTTTCTTCTGTATATTTGGTTTAAACAAAGCAGGAGATAAGAAATAGTCTGAAAAGTGGAGAGTCTGCCTCTTTAAAGGGGGCAGTCAGGTCAACTGCACTATGTAGTGCCCTACACACAAGTTATGATGTACATTAGACTCAGATGTGAATATCATGGCTTTTATATGTGTTGTTCATGCCAGCATACAAAGATGTTGCTCAAGAATATTAACTTATCTCTAACGTATTAATTACATAGTATTACATCCTTATTACTGTTATTATATTATGTGAACTGACAGAGAAAATATGTGCCATTTGAGCTTTCCTTTATGTGTTTTTTTTTACTCTGTAGATAGCCTATTTGCCTACGATATTGCAATCATAGCAACCCTGTCCAAAAATGATGTTCCTTTTGATGTAGGTGATAAATGTAGTTACAGTAATGCATTGTTTAGAAAACAAAATACTATCAATTTTATACATGTTTCAACTTTATTGTTTGCATTTATGTTACTAGTACTGTTCTGGCTTGATTAAAACCACCCCTTTGTTAAAATTCTGCAGAAATAATAAAGATATGTGAATAAAGCAGCACTTTGTGTCACCGAACAAATCATTTATCCTGTAGTTAAGACTCACCTGGAAATAAGCTTTGAAAATAATGACTAGAGTAAATGTTTGGTGTTCTATTAATAGTTGAATGCAGAATTATTGTAAGTAAATATTTTATCACACTAGTTCCCAACCTGGGGCTCAGGACCTCTTTATGGAATAAATCTCTGGACTATTCATAAGATAATTACCTACACAAAAGAAATAAAAACATATTTCTGCCACACAAAATTAGACTTATTTTTCTGACTTAGCTGACTAATCACTGCTTTTTCTCTGCTGCTTTTTTTTACACTTCTTGTTAATTGCTGCAATTATACTCCCCATTTTCTCTTAAAAGTATTAATCATATCATTATACTGTATACTATGATGTATAATTGACAGCACTGATGCATTAATGTCTGACCACCATTTTAATTTAGGTACACTTGATTTAAGTAAATATATCCTTCAGCTACTTTATGCGCGGTTAGGTAGTTGATTTCTTTAGCAAAACATCTTATTTTACAGACTGATTTTACAGTACTGTTTGTTTTATATGTAAAATCATAATTTGAAAGTTAAACTGTCACACAAATGTAGTGGAACAAAAAGTACAATAAATCTAGTGAAGTATAAGTATACAATATAAATTCAAAGTGCTCTTTTAAAGTACATCACAACTGTATTTACTGTACATGCAATACGAAGAAGTCTGTGTTCTTCCCATAGATTAGCATGTAGCCTATCCTACTGATGTGCATTTGAATTTTGATTCTTGTAAGGATGAGTAACCCTGCTGACCTTTCTGTGAAGGAAGAAATACAGTACTCTTTTAGACACTTTGTTTAGATTTACACAAGACCACAAGGAAGGCATCTGATCAGGGATCAGTTAATTGCAGCATGACAATGAGCACAGACGTGCAGCCAGAGTCATGGAAACTATCTGCAAATAGTGGTGTGGCTCCCACAGAGCCTTGATCTCAACATTATGGAGTCAATTTTGAATTCCTGTGAGACAAAAGACAGTGGTAAAGCCTAAATCCACAAAAGAACTGTGGCAAGATCTCCAAGATGCTGAAAGAACAGATATGTCTTGGAAAACTGCGTGCAAGTGTATCTATGAGAATTGGTGCTATTTTAAAAACAAGAGTGGTCATACCAAATATTGACCCTTTTTTCTGTTTCCTGCACTTTGTTTGAAGTTAATTCATAAATAAAACATTCTTGACATTATTTTTGATATAACCCTCACTTTATTATCAGTGCCTAAGATGGAGAGATTGTCAAGTATAAACTATTAAATATTTAAAATGTTTGTCTTAGATTTTATATGGAAAGCGTAAGTGCCATCCAATGAGAAATTTTAAATAAGTTTACTCTTACATTAGTTACTCAACGCATGTTGCATGTTTAGAGACAGACAATCGCAATTGCAACTATGAATCATGTCTCTCTTCGGCTTCCATTGTTGTGCCGGCTATGCTAGCTAATGGCTATTAGCTGTTGGCTACCATCTAAAGTTGGTCAGAAAAGAGCCAAAGAAACAGTGAAACAACCAAGTTCGCCAACCACCAAGTGAAGTAAGTTTTGTGAGCTGCTTTAGTTTATTCATCTGGCATTAACATTTTTGGTTTGACTCAACAGTAGCGGTAACAGGGAAGCAAAACATTGTATGCTAACGATATGTAACGTAGTGTTGTCTGAATATAGTAACTTACATGCTGTTAGAGTGTGTTAGCAACGATACATAACGTTACCTGAAATATAATGTAGCGTTAATGTTTTAACTGGTAGCATATATGTGCACAAGGCCCAAGAATGTTTTTATATTACAGTTACAGAAAGATTAGTAATTTTCTTTAGTGCAAGGAAACCAGCGTTAACGTAAATTTGTAGTTAGTTTACAGAATCTGGATATGAAATGAGCCCAATCAAATGACTTAGCCTTTTTGTAAAAAAAAAAAATTAAAAAAAACTTAGGGCTTACATAGGTACAGTATTGTTTTCGTAATGTGCCATTCATTTGGTTAATCGTTTGCTTAGGGGAATGTAGTCAGTGGATGGTGTAAAATTGTAATCGTAAATTACCACAGTATAAGGTAATTTGTTCACAACCCATAATTAGTCAGGTCACTATTAAAGGCTTTATTCTATTGTAAAGCCACGTCCGGTTCTTTCAAACCAGGAACTCAGAGGGACGACCCAGACCACTTGGATATATAAAAAATATAACCGTGCTGGTTTATTCAAAGGGTCACAGGCAAGAATTAACATTACACGTCCAGGCATCTTCCACCCCCAAAGCTGCTCGCAGGCAGCCCGGAAGAAGAAGCCCCCTGGACCTAATAGCCTATACAATTTAATCACTTCGTTGGGCTAGCCCCATCCTATGCAGGCAACGTCAAACCGTGACGTCACCTGATATGCCAGCTTGGCACCGGAGCAGAGCAGTAGACAAAACATGAAGAAAATAATGTGTGTGAATGTTGATTATGTGGTGTGTATCTAAAAACACTGTAACACAACAATTCACATTAAGAAAAATATTATGGTTACTTTTACCGTCATAATAACATTTGTCCCTGACTGCAGCCTTTCTCTGCTTTAACTAACCTTGCATTTAACAGCCTGAGGAAGACATCCTGGCTACACTAACATCTTCTAATACAACAGATCTCTAATCAATATCTATCTAACTAAGAAATTACCTAACACTATCATGACAACGAACAGCAGCAAATCCCAACATTCGAAGGAGGAAAAAAATGTTGTCAGCCATTGCAGCTTGAAAAATTACAGGAAAATGAATCAATTCTCTAAATAGTTTCTGATTGTAAATAGTAAATTAACAGAATGAAAAACAATGACGCCAATTTCAGGCCACATTTACCTTTTTTTTGTCAAATTAACCCTCCAAAGACTTTTCATTGACTGCCATGGAAAGGATCCTCACAATAGTGAAGGCAGAAACAGCAAAGGCTTGGCATTTTTCGAAGCGAAGTTGTTACAATCCTAATTTAAATTAATTGAACCTGCATGGTTGGATCACAACCTACTTAGGCTGGTAAACAGTGGTTGCTTTTATTAAAATGACAAGCAACACCAAAGGTGATTCTTCTTCTTAATTGGCAAATGTTTTTTCTACATACAGTAGATTTATACATATGACATTCTTTGTATGGTAGGTTGTGCATGATTTAATATGAAAATCTTCACCTGAAATTTAATTTGTGAACTGTGTATAGAACTAAAATCAGTTTGTGTCTTTGCAGGTTGGAGAATATGGTTGTGAATCTCTGTCTGCCAGACTTTTGTACAACAATTCATTGCAACAAGGTGCGACACATTTCATGCCTCTGTTACAATTTTTTTATATAACACACAATACTCCCTTGTCAGCTCTGTTAATTGAAGTGCAAAACTTCTGCAACACCCAGGTTGACATATTACTAGTGTTCGCAACAAACATTTAAAAGCTGGGCCCCTAATTTCTACATTTCAACGGTAGCTAATGAGTGCGCCTTATTTTTTCCACTTTAAAAGTAAAAAATAGTTGATGTGTTAAGAAAAACAGAAAGAATCCATGTACATAGAAATGAACAGCACAAAATGGAGATGGAGGACAAAGATGTGGAAATAAAGACTCAGAGGGACAAGGTGCTGTGTGGGAGTCTGAATCACAAACTGACCTTGTTATGTTCTTTTATTGGTATTTTGTCATCTGATCATGGCTGTATTTTCTCCTCAGCTGGGATAGAAGCTGTTCTTTCTCTAATTTGGGAGTTCTTCAGTTATATTTTCTTATTCCTTTTTTTTTTCACCCTTGTGCTTTATATCGTCACCTCTCCTTCCACGTGATGTTAAACATACCTAAAATTTAATTAGGTTTGTTGTGTATACCACTCGATCTCTTACAATGATGTTTACTACTCTTTTGACTTTTTTACTAGCATCTGAGAGTGTGTGAGAACGTTAACATTTTCTCCTATCTCTATACTGTCTTTAAAGACTGAAACAACTGTGAAATAATCTTTAAAAATGACTTACTGACTGAAACAACTGTGAAATAATTTTTAAAAATGATTTACTGTAGCCGCTTTCTTGTCATTTTTAATTTCTAAAGAATGTATTTATTCGATTTATATTTCAACTGCAGCTGTGTGCAGATGGCTATGATGTCACAAACCTCATGTCAGCCAACCCTGCTCTTAGGAGACGGGGCTTCAAGCTGGAGTATTTCCTTCGTCCGCCGTTACAGGTAAAATGATGCTGTCATATTGTGATGAAGGTTTGCTCAAGCGCCAACCTCTGAGGCTGAGAAATGAAGCCAGTGCTCAAGTGCCAAAACCGGCAGCTCCTTGAACAGTTGCTTGAGGCTGGCTCCAAAAGGGAGTCAGTCCCTATAGATTCCCATGTTAAAGTGCCCAACTTTACAGCAGAAATAAACATGTTTACAGACTGGTACAAAAAAACAGCTAATAAAGCTAATTTCCCCTTCCATAACAACTGTAAGGGGGCTGATTTTTTTTTAATAACTTTATAACTTTTTTTTTAAATAATAAATTAAACTAAAAGTTACGCATTAATTAAGGGTGTGACCAATTTGTCAGCCAGTAGGGTCCCGCCATAGGTGGCTAGCCGTCTAATGAGCTCCGCTCAGACTCCACCTCTTTGCACATTTTTGGATTAGACCTAGCAGACGGAGTGAAGCACTACCAATATGGCAACAACCAGATTTGAGCTTCAAACCTGCTCTTCAGAAAACCAATGGGTGATGTCACAGTGGGTTTGCCCAATTTTTATATACAGTCAATGAGTTAACTTTTTACAGAGTTAACTGAGAAGATTAATACTATGAAGTTAAAACATAAGAGTTGTATCAGTCTTCTCTAAGTCTTGGCCAGAAAGTGTTTAAACATACTGTATGTCCTTACCTTGTTTACATCTTGCAGTATGGATTTGGTTTTATCCTTATTCTTGTTTATCCATCTTTAGCTTTTCTCCTGTGAGGCTGGTGTGTGTCTAAGGCCTCAGCCCCCCCAATATGTCATGACTGAAGCTTTTTGTAATTAGTGCAAAGCAAAGTTCTGATTTATTCCTTTTCACAGAGATGGCTACAGCCAGCCTCGTACTGTCAGAAAAATGAATTTCATTGCACTCTGCATTTTTAGAATCTTAACATTTCTAAAACTTTTAAAAGCCGGTAGGATCTGTGACGAAACAAGTAATACATTCATCGCTAAAATTAATTAATTAATTTTTTTCTTCTCAGGTAACATTGAAGTTTGGCTTTCAGGTGGAGCTGTGCAGGGTGGATGTGGAGCTTTGGCCCTGGGGGATGGACCGAGGACAGGTCTGCAAGAGACTAGAGCTCAGCACCAGCTGTGATCTGCTGCCTCCCCAGAATTCTGGTCAAGGCCACAAACGGGTTCAGCAAAAGATACAAATGCAAAAGGTGGTAAAGGACCAAAATGAACAGAAAAGAGGAAAACAACAAGAGCGTGACCTTAAATCTTGCCATAGTAATGGCCACCAGTGGAGACTTCAGGCCCATCAGTGGGTTGAAGAGGCTCGAGATGAGCCTCAGCAAAGATGCCACATGTTCAGGTGTCTGTCAGACACTGAATCCCGTAACCCTGAGCCAGAGTTTAAACTTGTAGGTCGTTGTGAGCTCAGGGAGGAAACGCGAGTCAGTTTCACGCATTCAAATTTTAGTTCCCGGTCCCCATTTCTCTCCCCGCCTCCTCCACAACCGGTAAACAGTCGACAAGAGGAGCTGTGGAGGCGCGGTGTGCTCTCGTTAGGTGCTGTGACACAGCTTCGTGTGACTGTGCCGTTTGGTGGTGCAGCGTCTGCTCTGGGGCTCAAGGCTTTAGCCGTTTGGGGACAGCCTGCACGCTGCTGCCCTGCAGAAGAAGTGGAAAGGATTAAAAGAGTCCACGAGGCCAGTGAAAGACTTTTGTCACAACCTTTGTGTTTTGTCCCCCCTGTCAGACAAATCCAACAACCAGTGCAAGCAGCCACACCTCCAAGGTATGTTTATGAAACAGTCTTTCTCTTTAATCTCCTTTTCATAGGTAAAATAGAGCTTATGACAATAAAAGATATTTTTTTATTTATCTGCTGGCTTTTTGTGTGACTTCAGCAGCCTTTCCACCCCAGAAGAGTTCCTTGACCCGATAACCCAGGAAGTAATGACACTGCCTATGCTACTCCCGAGTGGTGTGTCACTGGACAATACCACTCTTGAGGAGTACCACAAGAGGGAAGCCACTTGGGGTCGACCCCCAAACGACCCCTTCACTGGCGTTCCGTTCACTTCAACCTCTCAGCCTCTTCCTAACCCCCAGCTGAAAACACGTATCGACCGCTTCCTCCTGCAAAAAGGTGGGGTGAGGAGGGATGGGATGTTGGGGAGACAAGGCGAAGGAAAGAATCCACAGGTCTCAAGACTTCTAACCTCTGAGGTAGACAAAACTGCTATTCACTATAATGCTGGCACTACACTGAGAGAAGGCACTGGATCAAGTCATTCATCATGCAAAGGAAATGACAGGTCTAATCCCCAGCATGTTTCGACACATAATAAATTAGATGTAGACAGACTGAAGAAACGAGATGTAAATGGAGTTTCCAAAGAGTCAGTAGATGAGTTGACAGCTGAGAAGCAAAGATCACCTCAAACAAAAAGACCAAGAACTGATGCAGTTTCATGTATGTAAGAATAAGCTACTAACATATAATTATCAGATGTTATCTTTGTCCTGCAAACTTGATGGTTTGCTATTTCATCATCCTTATGCAGTTCCTAGCTGCAGCTCCCATGAGCAGCGCCTGTCAGCCAGCCTGGATGAGGCCCTCTTCTCTGCCCTGCAGGGCCGACCCTCCTTCACCTCAAATTTGTCTCAGCAGAGAGGTGTCACTTGTGACTCTGACCTACTGAACAAAGCAGAGCACTGTCAGACTGCACACACTTCAAGCATGTCTACAGGTAGGGTGTCCAAAAATCCAGATGTGAGGCTGTACTAGGAAGAATCATAACGTTCATAGATTCTGTGCTAGGTGTGCTAGCTTTGTCATAACTCAGCATCTTCCTGTTAGACCCTGCCACTTGACCACTTGAATTTTACAAGTGTGTAGAAAGTGTCAAATAGAACTGCTGTCATAGCTCACACAGTGGCTAGTCTGATGCTGCACTTCCTCTAAATAGAATGGATTATAAACTTTGAAAAGATTCCTTTTAAATGTTGGTTATTTTTTGCACTAATTGCAGCATGGATAGACCAGCATTTAGCACAACGCACTTCCTCTAAATAGAATGGATTATAAACTTTGAAAAGATTCCTTTTAAATGTTGGTTATTTTTTGCACTAATTGCAGCATGGATAGACCAGCATTTAGCACAACCAGAGTATGTTGGGTTTTTTTTTTTTTTCTGAACTGGAACGAATTCCTTTCCTTCCTCCCAACAGAAGTTCAAATCATTTAGCCATTTCCTTGTTTAGTCAAAAACCGAGCATCTAATTGGTTAAAAGAAAGAAGGATAAACAAAACTAAATGTACTCGTACCAAAAGAATGCACTGAAAAAAAAGTTTATGACTTGATAACTATGTAGGTATATTTGATATTATGATTAGTTCAGTGTTTGTGATGTCTAGTATTGAGTCATAAATCCACTAACTGTTTGAGTCACTTTTCCATTTGCTTACCAGGTGAGAAGATGTGCTCTGCGTGTTCCTGCTCAGTCTCTGTTTACGCCACATCTGCATCATCCATCTACCGTCTAACCTGTGGTCACTTGCTCTGCCGTGCCTGCGCACAGAGGGAATCGCAGCCACTGAATTCTGTCACAATATCGACACCCAGTCACATATTATGTTCCACTTGCCACACACCTACCCCACGCACTGACATCATACGTGTGCATTACTGACAGATGGCAAAGGGAACAAGGAGGACTGTACACAGAGTGAGGATGTGCACCTGGTGTGGCGTTTCAGCGTTGTGACCGTGTTCAACTTATAGTGAAGGAGAAAAATATGTACTTCTAGATGGACTTTATTTATAGATTGTTCCCCCTTTTGATGTACATTATATCTTCACAAGTGCATCACACGCTATTACTGATGGTTGGCTGCTGAAGGGGTTAACTTGTTCCAAACATTTCCAGTAAAATATTCCTACCTGATTTATCACTTTATAAAATTATTTTGTAAGGCTTATTTTGTATTCACACCCGCTATAAGCCCTTCAAATCTGGCATTGAATTATATTTCATCACAAACTTGTTTTTGAGGGTATCAATGAAAGCAAAGACCTTTACAGAAACCTCACATTAAAGTGTTAAAAAATTGATTGAAGTCTTGTTTTCCTCTCTTCTACCCCCTCTCCCTGTCTTACCCCTGCCATTCAGCACTGGAGTGTAGTTGCAGCCTTGGTTCTGTAGTATTTGTGCAGACCCTGAATGTGTTGATGTCTTGTGTGACAGATGATAAGAAAAGGTCGGTGGAACAAATCACTGCGAGTGCTGATGCTATGTTAGCCCCGTCTTTATCTGAGGCCCTTCCACTCTTTTTCTTCACTCACCACTTCACATTCCCTAGACTCTTATGTAATGATGAGGACTTATTGGAAATCATTATGTACTTTTTATCATGCTTTGAATGTGTTAACATTAAACTGTATATGCTGGCTAATTCCCAAAATGGCAAGTGTTTGTTAGCATTAAAAGATGATGTGCAGTTTCCTTGCAAAGGCTACTAGTCCTCCATGTATTCATTTTAACACTTCACCTTAATTACCTTTTTATGAGTGTTACTGTATGCACAGAAGGATCCAACAGACCAAACTAGGGGAAAACGGTATTCGTTGGCCTCCACAATCACAAACAACATAATTTATATGTTGGTTTCCCTGACAACAACAAGCTTAACCAAGGTCATGATCCTGTATCCGCTCTGTAAGGGCAAAGACTGAATCAGATGTTCTGCATGTTAAATGGAGACACCAGCGTCACTGTTTCAGCTGCAAGTGGGAGATAAAGCACTTACAATGATTCTAAACCAGACTGTATTTGAGTGATATTCTGTACTGCCTGTGCTCGTCATGCTGACCGACTTTATACACTCACTTCTCAGAACTTTTGGTTGCAGTGAAAGCTTCTTTATTAATGTCAGACGTGTCTGCTCGAGATTGACCTCAGGTATCATATTGTTTCTATTTTTCTTTAGATTTGTTATACTTTTTGTTTCATAATTCTCAGGAGCGGTCCTGCACTAATCCACAATAAATCTATAATAATTATTCTTGAATGACTCGATGCTAATTAAAGAGCCCCTTCACATATTAACCTCCTACCTCAGATGCTCAGTTTTGCCATTTATCATTTACTTCTTAATCAGCATCACAACAGTTAAGAGGGGAGATATAACCCTAAGCATGCAACAAGACACTGGACAGAATAATAAACTGAAAATATCTGTTTATTTGAAATGCTAATCTTGTGCTCATTAACATTTTAAATTGCAGCAAAATAATTTAGGTGATAATTTGGGAGAATGTCCTGTGTTGACTGAGCCCAGACATAGGAACACAACTGTTTCCATTATTATTATTGTGTGTCTCTGCGTGCTCTAATGTAGCACTGGTGTATTTGTGTCTCCCTATGAATGTGTTGTTTCTGGACATTTGCCGTTTGTATCTATAAAAATGTCTTTCCTACAGTGATGAACTGTGAATGATGATGAGATGTGCTTAATTGGTGCACTTATTGAAAGGAAATCTAATTAGTTGTTCCAAATCTTCAATTAGGTGTTTGTGTTGCCTTTTTAGTGCGCACCCATCTGCCCTCTGCCGTGGAGGCTGACATTATTTAGAAAGGTTCTTCTAAGTAAGTGTGGCGCAGTCCTGAATACAGAGAAGGCATCTTCTGTTCTCATGTTTTCTTGTGTAGATTTGTTAGATGGGGCAAATCCGAGGCAGAGCCACATCTTTTGTGACCTCTCACGCACACGCCGTTGTCCTTCCGTTGCGCGCGTGTGTGAAGAGCATAACTGCCGACGCTGACGTCAGATAATGAGTGTCAGCCGCTTTGTCACATCATTTCCACCTGCTTATAAGTGAGCAGTCGACCGGGACATCGGTCAGACATCCATCCGAGGGGAGGACATTGAGGTGTGTGGCGCTCATCCAGATCCAGCAGCAATGACTCACTGCCTGTTCCCCCTGTGCATCCTGGGACTTATCGCCCTCTCCTCCACCTGTTACATCCAGAACTGCCCCCGAGGAGGGAAACGATCGCTGTCGGAGTCTGGGATCAGACAGGTGAGGACCACTCTCCTTTCTGCCTGTTTTGGAATGTCATCTTTGGCTTTCTTTTGTTAGGCCTACTTTGGTAGGCTTGGACATTTTTCTAATTGCATTTGAGTCCATTGTAATGATATATAAAGCCTTTATGTAAAATAAGAAAAGCTATAAAACATGGGAAACGGCACCATTTTATTAGGTCAAATTTAATAAAGTCCTGTTTTATTTAGTGCTTTGGGTTCAAATGTATGAAATGCAACCCAGTCATTATTGTCACTAAGAAGTGAAGAGAAGTGGTTAAAAACAAGTACATTTCAATAGCAATAACCAAGTAAAACAGTAAATCAATGTTAAGTTGTACAAGGTTAAGGACAAGGGTTTTTTTTCCAAACCATAAAACACAACAGCAAAAATATTTTTTTCTTTTTCAGAAGTGTAATGAAAATATCCTGTTAGAATAAATTTTACAACAATATATAATGTTTATCAAAAGTAAATGTAGCACAGGACAATACCAAAATAAATGTGTCAATGATCCTAAATCAATTTATAGTAATTATATAACCTGATAAATGCTTAAATCTAAATCTCCTCCAGTGCATGCCTTGTGGCCCCGGAGACAAGGGCCGCTGCTTTGGCCCCAGTATCTGCTGTGGGGAGGGCCTCGGCTGCCTGCTGGGCTCACCAGAAACTGCTCACTGTGTGGAGGAAGACCACTTGCTCACCCCCTGCCAGGCGGGAGGGAGACCCTGTGGATCAGACGGAGGACGTTGCGCTGCCTCAGGACTCTGCTGTAACTCCGGTACAGTCTGGTCTAATTGTATCTGTCATGTTTAGTGGTGTTAATAGATATGATATCATATAAATTAGTACATGGACGCACTGTCAATTAGGTTCCTTTCCTCTTCTCCTTCCCAGAGAATTGTGCAGTGGATTCTGACTGCCTGGGGGACACGGATGCCTTGGGTCCAGACCACAGTTCAGCA